ATATAGAGAGGAGTATGGGCGAATGCATTTTTGAATAATGTTTGTGGGGGTGAATTTGACTTTCTTCTACCCAGTAATGGTAAGAAAATAAGTATTGCTGATTGCTGAATTTATACTCATATTTAGGTGTTCAATTGTACCTAGCTTATGAGGACAGGATAATAACTGATTACTCTATGATATATGCTAGCCAGTTTTATGATGAAGATCTGAATGATGATACTTTTGATATCAATGATGCTTTGTGGTGTCAGAGTGCTAACAGTAGTGCTAATATTGGAGTGTGGTATTATCCTAATGGAACTGAAGTACCTTTATTTGATGGAAACTTCACTGATCCATCAGTTCCTAGACCATTGTTCAGCAAGAGATTTAGTGGTCAGATTGCACTAGCTAGAAGAGGTGGACTATCAGGATATGAAGGTTTATACAAGTGTATCATTCCTGATGAGAATGGAGTGAATCAAACACTAGTGGTTGGAGCATATACTGATACTGGATACAATAACAATGGTATGTGATGAATATAGACTATAATTAATGCACTTCTTTTACAGATGGTCCTGATGCTGATCCTACTATGCAGTTCTCTATCCTCTCCACTAGTAGATTAGCTACTCCTCCAGTCTTTAGTCTCAGTTTCAATGTCTCTGACGGTCCTCCTACTACTGTTAGTTGTTCAGTGAATGGGACTAGAATATCTACTGAACTGTCTCATGTGATAGTAAATGGACCAGGATCTGTTACAAGAGTGACAGTAACAGTGAGACTGAAAGAAGCCGGTAACTATCAGTGTACTGTATTTAATGCCAGAGTAACTGGTGGCCCTATCAGTAAAGGTCCTAGAGCAGCTCTAAGCACTTCATCATTTAATATATCAGGTTGGAAATCAATTATTGTTATTATTATATGTAAATATTTAGTATCTGATACTCCAACTGGTTTAACTGCTACAAGATTAAGTACTGGTTTAGCTCATGTAAGACTCTCCTGGTCTACTGTATCAGGAGCTACTGGTTATGAGGTCTACTATCAACTGTCTAGTAATACTCCTGTTAGTGTATTCAACACTAATTTAATAACAATAAATATAATATCATCGATATTGTCTCAAGGAAGTACATACACTTTTTATGTAGTATCTTATGGATCAGCTTCACTACCTAGCGGTAATGCTTCAGTTATGTTAACATTTAGTAAGTTTTTGTTAATAGTAATAACATTATTTATATTTAGGTGATCCGGTGGTTAATGATTTTATGGCTACTGCAATTACAAGTATTAATGTAACTTTAACATGGAGTCCACCAACTTCTGTAGCACCAGTTATTTATTATATTCATAGGAGATGTAAGAGATTATGTGAATCATCAGTCACTAGTAATAGTAAAACATTTGTTTCATCACCACATACTTCAACTGGTATACCTCCTTACAGTCAATGTACCTTTGATCTTATTGGAGTGTATGGATCTCAAACAGTTTACCTGACAACTAATTATTTAGCAACAACACTTTTTACTGGTAAAATAATGACTATTATTATTATTGTAATTTCTCATTTTTTCTATAGCCCCTACTGCACCAGTGGATGATATTATATTCTCATCAGTAGAGTCAGTGTCAATGACTGTCTCATGGAATGAAGTACCTTGCAATGGAAGGAATGGACTAATCACTGGATACTACCTCACATACACTAACATCACTTCAAACACTAGTTATACTGTTAATATCACTGGAGGAGACAACAGAATGTATAATCTCACAGGATTAATACCATATACTAACTATACTGTGAGTATAATACCTTATAATTATAATATGAATGGACCAGCTAGACAAGAAATACAATTAACTGCTGAATTAAGTAAGTCAATGAGATATTGATCAGTTTAACACGATCTTAACACAGTTCCTGGTGTGATATCTGATCTAAGACATGGAAAAAACCCAGATGCAATAAATATTGCATGGAATCCTCCTACAATACCTAATGGTATTATTACAGTATATGAGATAAGATATAGAGAGTCTACCAGTACTGGCCCATACAATATAACTAACACTACTAACACTTATTATGTTATAGTAGAATTGATACCTAATACTAGTTATACTATTGGAGTGAGAGCATATACAAGTATTGGACCAGGAGAATGGACTAATAGAGAATATACTACTATTGAAATACGTAAGAAATTACTGAGAATACTATGATGATAATATTTAAAAATTAATTTTAGCTGTCATTCAAACCTTTTCTATTACAAAGCTCAATTCTACAGCAGTGAGGGCTGAGTGGAGTTTTGTTCCTAGAGCTAGTCATTATACTGTCTATTATGAGTCAACCAGTAGCTCCTCAAGAAAGAAGAGACAAGTAGAGACAGGAATGAGAGTATTCCCAGGTGATACTACTGAAGGTCTAATAGGAGGTTTAGATCCTAATCTGAACTACTTGTTCTCTATATCTATATCATTTAATGTTAATGGAATCATTTATGAAGGAGAGAAGACTCAACCAATATCACTAAGTATATAAAAACTTTGTTTAGGTGTCACTCTAACTCCTACTGTAGTATCAAGCACTTCAACTTTAATGGTAACTTCAGGTAAGTGACTGCACACTGGTCATATATCAATCACACAATGGTCATGTTACAGGTACTTTACCAGTCACTGCTACAGGAACATCAACAAGTAAGATAACACAAGCCCATTATTATCAGTTTACTGACTTGCATTAGCAGTGTTGACTTCATCATCAGTGTCTTTATCATCTGCTCATGGTAAGCAAGTTTATAATGAAGCATTGTATTTAGTTCTACTAATAGTTTGTGCTACTGTGACAACTACTGTTACTGTACTAGTGAATAATGGAGGGAATATTGCTGTATGGATAGTTGGTGTGATAGTACTAGCATCACTATTGGCTGTATCTATAATAGTTATATTAATACTGGTTATGTTCATGAAAAGAACTAATATTAATCAAAAGAGGTATATAAATGCATGCATTCATTACTTAAAAATTTGTGGTTCATAGAAAATCAGATAATGACATTGTAATGGAGTGCAGTCCAGCTTATGCTACAACTGAATTTAAAACAAAGTTAGTTACACTATTGACTAGTACATTACATACATACACATGCAGTACTGCTGATGATGTATCAGTGAAGGATGGTCCAACATATGATACAGTACAACAAAGTGAACAAACACAGTCAGTTATATAAATACAATTATTATCATTATTTAAAGTTATTATTAATAGATCAACTGTTGAGCCAGTGTATGATACAACTAATGATGAATATGGGACTTCTCTTCCACCACCTGCTGAATATGAAATACCAACTGTGACTGATTTATAACTTAATCAACTCCTTGCTAGTGTACAAGTTATTTGTACACTCTTGGCTAGGTCGGTGTACTATTTTAGTTACATTATTTTCTCAATATGTGTGAATGCCTGTATTATTAATTCATAGTTCTTATCAGTTTTTGCCATGTAGTTTGCTAATGAACATAAAGTTAATTTTTTACAGTAGCAAGAGTAGATCTACTCTTGATAGTAGGTACATTGCTTTTACACAAGATTAGGATGTGTTTAGCATTCACTAGCTCCGGACTCTTCCTTATCACACCCAGTGTCATTATTACTAAGGACATAGTTTATTGCTTCACACATATGAATTTTAATGAGAAGGTCACTTTTGTCCATACTAGTGCATATCCCTAGTATATTATCGGACTCTTTCCGTATTAGATTTATACACCCACGCACTGTAACATAGATCTATTGTATTGTAGCTATCAGTGTGTGTCATTATTTTCAACTGTTCAATAATGTACTCATCTTTTATGTACATACATTACTATATGCAATACAATTTACCTAATGTATTTGGTTACCGGTGGATAGTACAATCATGAGATGTGTTTGTGTTACAATTAGAAATGTTTGCCAATTTTAGATAAAATACCACATCTACATTATGTTTAAAATAAACTTCTTAAATAGCAACAATTAGCAATGTTTATGGAAATCCAAATAAGCCAATGATAATGAATTATTTTTAACAAATAGCCTCTTCACAATCTCCACAGTTACAATTTTTAACAAGGCCATATACACCAATACACTAATCAATTATTTTGAATTATGGACATTTAAAGATCTGGACATAAAGCATTTTCTGAATATTATATTTCATTTTTAATTATAATACTTAGTACACATATGCATGTGTTTCTTCATTTTGATTTAAAATTTCAAAAACAGAGCTCTATTCATTCCGAACTACTTAGACCTATGAACACTGAACTCATAGCTCACATGATTCTGTTAGTTTTGGGGAAGAGGTTATTTTTTCAATAAATACTAACTAGATTGACAAATAAGAGCAGTGGAAGAGCAGTGGATTATTCTAGGGGAACAGGATGACACCCTCAAATAGTTCAAGTCTAGCTACATTTTACTCATAAAGCTAATATTACTACTTTAACCGAGGTCTGTGCATCTATCTGAAAAAAGCACCTTCCTAGCAATGATTGCTAATTATACTAGATCTATACTCACATTCAGGTATGCAGTGTCACAATGTTATTT